TGATGTGCACAGAGGTCGCCCTTTCTCTTATACACATCTAGAGGGGTATAAGAGACAGGGCCTAGTTGGTATATGCTTTCCACTGCTAAGATTATTGACGATTTGTGAAATACTCAAACTGATTAAACATCTTTGCCTAGAAGTTGGTCCTTCCAATTTTTTAGCTATGAACTTGTTACGACAGGAAATAAGCACGGGTATTCTACGTCTTGTTCCACCTCGGTTTCCCCTCTTTCTCCAACGTTTTCTGCTTCGCGTTGTGCTTTTGACGATAATAGCTCCACTAGAGAAGTTATCACCAAATATGACTAGAACTCAAGTATATTATTACACATGCTGCCCTATAACTACCCGTCATTGGGATCATGTTCTAAAGTTAAGTTTGAAAATCTGTTGAACCTTAAAATCTGCGATAGATGATTTAAATTTAAACTTATGTAACATTATTTGGTTCTACATGAAACAAAGGGCTTATTCGACTGGTGCATTTTGTTGAGTACAAATTTTCATTGAGTATTATTTTCATTCGACTGGTTTGTAAAATAAACCTCGTTGACAACGAAAATTAACGTAACCAGTATGCGTTAATCAGTGTTAAGTTATCCACGTAACCAAAAAATAAGGCCGATTGGTCAGTTTAGCAACAACATTTGCGTTAATATAATTAGATTAAATTTCAGAAAAAAAAAATTATAATATTTACCCACATTGAAGTTAAAAAATATAGTAGGCTAACAGAATTCAAAAACTGAATGAAAACATTTTTTTTACGAAAAAACCTATACTGCCACAATCCGAAGCAGCCTTGATTACGCAGCGTGTATTGCGGTAACTGTGCAGACATTTTGTTTTGTCGAGTATTTACCAGTTTTCTATTCGACTGGTCGTCTTCAATAAGTAGGATTTTACCACTGCGCAGGTGGGTGTGGTTTAACGAAAAACGAGCAGTCAAATACAGCCATTGATTAAAAGTGTATTAAGGTATGGCTCAATCTAAAACAATGATAAATATATTTTAAAACAATGATAAATATATTTTAATGACAAATGTATTTGAATTTGAAAGAAATTATTAATAATGTCTTAACGTGTTCAAAGAAGAAGGCTAAATATATAATTCGGGGGGTATCCCAGTTTCAGCCCCACTTCACCATTTTACCTCAATAGTTTCAGAAAAATGTTATTACGTTCATCATCAATGACTATCACATGAAAATGTTATGTGACCAGGAAGAAGGCCAATAATAACTGGTTATGTCGGTAGTAAACAATAAAACAGCTCCGAAACCTGGAAATACCGGGATGGTGTCCAGAGGGGGAAAGTTTATTTTCCAAAAGTAGTTAAGTGTTGCTTAAAGTAGTTAAGAAGCGTAGCTTGAGTTAGTAAGGGCTGTCCTGGGTACGACACTAAACTCCATCCAGTCGAGGCGTCGGCGACTAATAATACAATCTCATTCAGATGTGTCTTAGTGGCTGCTGAGGAGAGGGTGCCATGGTCACCCAGCAGCAAGAAAAACCAACAGCTGAACAAAGGCAGATGAGCTCTTTGGAGTCAACGGCCAACCATAACTTAGTTTTAGTAGGAGTATAATTAGCCACATTTTATTTTTGATATTTATATTTTTAAACTTATTTTTCATTGTGATGTGCACAGAGGTCGCCTTATAATTCCATTATTATCATTATCATTATGGGGCATTCCACAGTATTTTTTTGTTGCGGACATTACACTTAAGAGAATTTAAAATTCTATATCTAGTAAACCACTGAAGGGAAACATTTTATTTTTTGGTCAATTATTGCTTACAGACTAAAGTTTAAGTCTGTATTAAAAAAATGAAAAAAAATATTATAGTGTGACTGTAAAATCGAATTATGTCCGTGTTGCGGACATTACAGGATTGCGACATGACTTTTGACAACATAAATATAAATCAAAAATCC